GTTCCTGTTCATCTTAGCAAATAAACCACAAAAAATCAATTTTTGCACATCCCAGGCCCCTTCATGCCTCCACTGGGATCTCTATCTGGTTCAGTCGCCTTGTATTTTTTTTATTTTTTTTTTTTTTTCATTCTATCAAGTGCTGTCACCACTTCTGCTCTCGATGCAGGTCCTGTAAGGCACTGGGTATGACTCCGCCATGATCATCCCGGAGGTGTCCTCATTCAACAGATTCACAAAGCAGTCCTTCCATCTCTTGTGTATCTGCTTTCTCATCCATTAGTCTTTCGTGAACCCAAACCCTGGTAGCCCTTGGCCTGATCAGCAGGAATGCTGAAAACTGACGTCAAAGGAGCTGACTAAGCTAGCGATTTGCAAACAGAATGCTTAGCCACTTATTTGCCCGCCAGCTCTCAGGCATGCCCATTGAACTTCGAGACGTACCTTCCTGACGTTTGAGCAGTGCCTCCCCCCGCCTGCAACATGGTTCCCTCGGGCACGCGGGGTGCATTCCTACTGTGCTGCCTCCCGCAAGCACATGTTGTAAGACAACCACAATGCGCCTAAGCAAGCGGGCGGGTAAACCACGTCCTCGACAGATATCGGTCAAACTGCCAAGGATTTGGCACCCTTTGGCGCAACCACAAATGCAACCTCTACCCGCGCACACACGCATTGCGAAACGAACATAATGCCTCTCACGTGGGGCCAGGCGGAGCCGCTCCTCGTCCCAGGCAGGCATCGCTCAATCCGCCAAGGTAGTGGTACCCTGAGGCGCACGGAGCACACCCACCTGTGCTACCACAACCTGCCACCGCGAACGAACAGGCGGGGACAACCCACGTCCAGGAAGGTATCGGTCAAGCTGCCAAAGTCAAGCCTTCAAGAGATCTCGACACCAGGACTACCAGAGGCAGATTCACGAAACCCTCTCCTAGAATCACCTTTTTGAGTTGCTGTGTAAGGTAGTCATACAAATTTAACACCGAGGGACTAGAGGATAATTTACAAAAGTTCAAGAAGTATTGCAGTTATTATTTTCGTAACTACTGATGAGAAGGTTATAGTAGGATAAGCCTTGTCCCATAATGACCAATGGCAATGCATTTAACAAAATGACCAACCAATCACATGCTATTTTCCAACACAGCTGATTGAATTCAGACACTGAAGATAGACAACCCTATAAGCGTAGCTATCTCAGCACATTAATATTACAGCCCCAGCTGATAAGAGAATAAGGGTGAATTTACAGATTTAGTAATACATGCCTGGAGGAGAATATCAGTTGCAGGTAAAATTCGAAGGTTCTACAACAAAGAACCAATCCAAGTGACATTACTGATTTCAATCACTAATGCAATCAGTTCTGTATGTCCAATGCAAAGAAACGCCATAGGTGTGCGGAAGAAATAGGGGATTCAAGCTAGCACAAGCCTTTAGCCTTGTATACAGTCCTAAAGCAATGATGAGTCATAAGAAGAAGAGAGCAAAGAAACGTTTGGAAACCAGACGGTGAGATGGAGTACAGAAGAGTCAAGAACTAAACATCTAAGCAGAAGAGGGATTCTAATTGTGTCGTGCTAATGGACGAGAAAGCAGATACACGAGAGATGGAAGGACTGCTTTGTGAGTCTGTTGAAGGTGTGCGGAAATGTCACTAGGGACCTTAGGTCACAGGCGATAAGGAGCTATAACTATTGCACATAGCTTATATGTTGA